CAGAGGAGCCAGAGGAGCCAGAGGAGCCAGAGGAGCCAGAGGAGCCAGAGGAGCCAGAGGAGCCAGAGGAGCCAGAGGAGCCAGAGGAGCCAGAGCCAGCAACAACTCCAGACGATCCAGAGCCGGAAGAAGAGCCACTAGAGCCGGAGCCGGAGTTGGAGGAGCCAGAGCCAGCAACAACTCCAGACGATCCAGAGCCGGAAGAAGAGCCAGAGTTAGAAGAGCCAGAGCCAGAAGAGCCAGAGCCAGAAGAGCCAGAGCCAGAGCCAGCAGTGGCCTCGCCAGCAGCAGCAGCAGCAGTAATGGTAGCCGTGGAAATCGTCTTGGTGACAGTAGAAGTCGAAGTAGCCATCACGGTAGTGTGCAGGTGAGTGGGCGCATTCGTAGCCTCGATGAGAATGGTGTTGTCAACGGTGATGATAGCATCCTCCTCGAGCTGAACATCAACCACAACAGGGTATTCGATGATGTTCAAGGAGAGGTGCAAGACCTCGCCGGTGAACTCGACATCCGAGCAGGTATCGCGAGCCCGCAGAGCAGTGTCCTTGGGCTTGATAGCCGCAGCACTGGCCACGCCCAGGGACGCGACGGTCGCTGCAAGAGGAGCGAAACGCATACTGTTCGATTGGAAAGAATGACTGTATGTAAAGAACGACAGTAAATAAAGAAAATCAGAAAGAGTGACAGTAATGGGCCCTGTTCGGCCGGAGCGAGCGTCTAAACGAGTGTACGCGAAGCTTGGTTCTCCCCCAGAGATGGGATCAGGACTGCTTTTATACTTGACGGAGACCTTCCAAAAAAAAATGGTGCATTAGAGGTCTGCATTGTGCAAGCCTTTCCCGTGGTCAATTGCCCTGCAGGCCACCACGTGGGAAATCCCTGTACTGTCCAGGTCTCGACCTCTTGGCAGGCACCATTGCTGGTAGGATCCGCTTCCAAGGTCAGAAAGGGGAAATATCAGGTAACAGTATCCGACGTATCGCGAGGGAATCAGGGATGGTTATGACGTTGGAATCGGCTTGCTCGGATATCCCGAGCTGAAGAAACCTGAAGAACCGGGTCGGGTTAAGCTTCTTTGAGACTAGCTTCAGGTTTGGTTCAGGGACAAAAACCCTTGGGTCGGGGAATTGGGATTGCTGATCTCTGCTGGATCCAAGGCTCTGGAACCTAGTGAATGTGTATCTGATATGATTTCACCTTCAAAATTGCACACATCGTTCTGTTCAAGATCAGTATCCTGTAGGGTTATCCGACCATGCCGCCAGCAAAAGTAAGTGCAGAAGTCTAAGCACACCCTGAACAGTCAGAGTTCAATTGACATGTACCGTCGATCGATTTGCCGACAGCTCTTAGGTAGTCTAGGGCTCGGGCTAAAAGTGGCTATTGAACGAGCGGGGCGCCCGCCCACCGCGTGTCGTTGGCTGAACCGAAGTAAGCCTGGCCCGGTTCCTTGGATCATCTCAGACAACATGGGACTAGAAAATTCCTCGTGAGTCCGTGACACCCTTAGATATGGTTGTTTGTCGACGAAAGGGACTATTTGAACGAGCAGGACGCCATTGGCCATCCACTCGACTCTACTGCTCTTAGGGCCTACTCTCCGGAAGTCCCGGATACAGTCTGCAGCAGCCAGCCCTCTCCAGGCACATCACACCGTATCTCATACCCACTTATCAGCGCGAGGCCCTTCTCCAAAGACCAATCCGACAGATTCCGTAATTCATACCGATGATCACAGCGAATGGGCAACACCTAGACTAGGTAGTTACTGAGTAGTACCACAAGCAGGTGGCTCGCCACACTAACCCCCTGTAGTGCATCTCCACAACAGTGCCACCTAGTCAGTAGTTAGGCGAGGAGCACGAGATCTCTGATTAGCTTCAGTTCTGCATTGCCCGCGAACCACGATCGGGTGGATATCTTTCAATCGTACAATGCCTCGTTCTCTCGCGTGCGGCAGTCACGCGATTTCCATCTCGGAATTCTGAAGCGAGGAAATCCGATGAATAGTTCGTCTTACTGTCGCGGCCATTTCGGCAAGCCCGGGTCTATCCCTGTCGTACTAGTATGAGTTCCCGTGGAGTTGAGTTCTTTTTTTGGGTTGATATACAGCTCCAATCGCTGTTCAGGTGTTATTTCCCCCCTTTTTCTTTTATCCCACTAAAGGTGGTGGACCAAAGGAAGAGGAGGAGCTGAGGGCCGATTTTTCGGGGAGGGGGTGGCAATCCGGAAAGCTCATGAATGGTCTATGTACAGTACAGTATTCACGAAGAAGCCTATGGTTGTAGTACGCAGTCGAAATTGGGGAGAATTGCTTTCCAACACGGCTGCCTCATTCAGGAAGTGGGAAGTCTGCTGTGGGTTGGGTCGAAACTTCAGTCATATTCAATTGCTCTTGATCCTCATAACCTTAATTGCCCTCTGCGTTGGGCTAAGCTATGGACTAATATCTTGGGTACAGGGTGTAGAAACCGATTGGAGTCAAACGGGCTGGTATTAATATCAGTGGACTTATGGCAGGTAACGAAGGCCTAACCGGCGGATGACTCGCTCTCACAAAGCGCCCTTGGTGGACCTGGACTTTCAACTCGAATGATCGAGCAAGCACCTTGGGTCAAGATTTCCGAATATATCTCTGAGAGACCTTAGAATAACGCAGCGAGACCTCTTTAAGCACCTCTCCAAACACCTTCCCAAGCAAGCACCTTTATCATAAGCACACTCTTTACCAGCCGTTCTCACGTCATTTTTATACAAATATCTACCTACCCCCTGCCGCCATCCGGCTAAGCGCAACCTTGTGAAGGTGGAAGGACAACTAGGTAGACATACCAAAATGGCTAATAGAGGTTCCAACTCAAAGCCTCGAGGAAGCTCTTTAGCGAGATGAACAGGCTCCTACCAGTGATCAAGCCTCTCACTGCAACAGAGGAGGTATGAGGGTATAAAGTTTCTGCTTCTAGAACCACTTCGCACGCAACCGCTCCGACGAGTTCCTCTCATTGCAGGGCACAAGCGGTATATTACAATGATAGTGATTTTGGCCGTCAAGACATGCCTGATCTTGATGATGTCCCTAGAAGCACATTTAAGGGTGGTACAATCTACACCCTGGGCATGCAGTTACTGCAGCCCGGCGCTTCGAGGCGGGTTACAAACGAGGGTGTCTTATCGCCACTCATTAACTACTTACAGTACACCCGCACGCGCCCGTCAATATAGATTCGGAATCTCAGTCGCTCTTTTTGAGTGCCAGGACTGTAGCCTCAGAATATGGCCATCGCGTTCGGTGGGGACGACACTCCACCGGGCATATTCAGAGGCGCAGATGTGACGAAGAACGTCCAACGCTGAAGATCCTCGCATGTACGTGCTAACGCCTCCAAGTCGAAGAGCTCGCCTGTAGTGAATCAGTATCGATACTTGAGTGTGTACATGGGAGCTTGAGACCCACCAATGGGCATGCCCTATCCTGCAAGGACGTACTCATGGAGAAACAGGTCAGGAGATTGAGGTGGATAGACCTGTCAGATGTCAGAAAAAATACCACGCAAAGCCCTGGCGGGGATCTGGTATGTCCTCTCACCTCCCAGCTAATAGCATTGCTCGCAATGGCCGCAAAGCCCGTATCCCAGAGCCAACGAAGCACGTCAATAGTTGCCTCCACCCCTGCGTGTTGGGGCTTCGGATTCTCGGAGTATCGCTGCTTCTGAGTGTGTGTCATGACGGTGTCCCATTCCTTGGTGACTCCTATGCGGATGAAGAGAATGTCACCTTTCTGGAATGCGACGTTGGATTCTTTTGCAACCTGTAGGATATCGGATAGTCTGATCTGATGGGTCGAGAACGTGCTATATTGTATACCACGCTTCTCGGCCCACGTCGCGTAGTCGATAAGTACCCCGCGACCTGTCAGGGGAGACTCAGTACATCCGGAGCGAATCAAGTTATATGTTAGGTTGACTCATGGCCGCGATACCTACCGGCTAAGCCCTCCCGTGCCCAGTGCTGTATACCGATTCGATCATTCGTCCGATCATTGATCTCTTCCACTGTTGTTCCGCCGTAAAGGACGCGCTCGGGTTGACCTGGGACTGGCTGCGAAAAGTGTCGTAACCCATCCCATTGACTACTTTGTTCTGCGAAATATCAACATCATGGAAGAGAAAGGGGGTTTTATTTTTGTCTCACGCGGGTTCATCGTATGGACATCATCAAAAGCCACGCCACCCAGCAACGGAACAATCCGATGATGACATGGTTGACGGTTTAGATTGGGGTAATCCAGCTTGGTCAATTCCCATGCCATGGTCACCCGCAGCCCTGTCTTGATCTCGGTTGCTGCCGCCTTGGTCACTACTTCCGGTGTCAGAATGGAAAGCTTCCCCAGACCCTCTTCTTTGCTGTCCGGTTCCCCCACCCAGACCTGCTTTGGATTCGGAAGCAGGTCAAATGGTGTATCGAAAAGTGATTGTCTGCCCGTCATGGCTACGGAGACACCCTGCGTGGAGCCTGTTGTTCTTATGCAAGATAGCATAAAGATCGCAAGTCCCTGTTTGTACTTTTCGAAACGACAGGATGTGCACGGGATTGACTTGTAAAGATGCGGTGCGAGAAATGTTGATGAGTGGTTCGTATGGTACGTAGGGTCAATATAGTGCGACCTTGCAATGTCAGTTTCCTTCAATGTCACCATAGTGTTGCAGCACGTACTTGAACTGATGTTTTGGTCTCCTTCAAAAATGTCAGTCAGAAGAGAAGCCCTCCACATGACAATTCGATTCAAGGTAGAATCGCGCCGATAAGAACGTGGCTTGTGAAACGCAAACTCGTGTAAAAAGTTGGAAGTTGGCAATCTTTCAGCTGGAGGGGACAAACATGCAACAAACACAAACTTGAGATCGGGGAGTAAAAATGCGGGGGATCAGCACGAGGCGACAGCCTTTCTTCCGTCACTGTCAACTTTCTTTTCTTCTTGTCGTTCACCTTTGGACAAGAACCGAAATAGCCGGGAATCAGCTTTTCGAGCAAGGGCGCAAACGAGACACATTGAGCTGTCATTATTGCCTGGACTGAGACATGCATTAAGCAAGGGGTAGTATACTGCTCGTTACATCAAGCGAAGACAGCAAATGTGCCCCTTCAGCCAACGGGTGGATGACCGTGTGCGATCCTTAGCTGTCGTGCAGAGCGCATTGTATGATTCACTAATCAAGCATTCCTCGGTCGCACCCTTTCTTGAAGCATTGTGTTGAAGCACTGTGGCTGACGGAACCGAGCTACCAGACTAGTCGCCAGACTTTGATTCGGGTTTGATCGCAAACGCTCTCGCGTTCAGTGCTAGACAATCCATCAGCATGGGCACTTTCGGATCGCAGACGATTACCTACAACAGGCTGGTCACGGCCTTCGTTGCTGTGCGGTCAATGGTAAGACGTCGACTTCTACCCTGCTTTCACCCAGATATACGCTAATTCCACTCAATTCTTGCAGACCTACGGTTATTGCTCCTCAATCATCTCGAGTACCATCGGCCAGCCAGGCTGGTATACTCATTTCCACCTTCCACAAGAGGGCCAGCCCGGATACGCGTCGATCACGACATCAGCCATATCGACTGCCAACGGTGTATACAGCGCTGGGGGTGCAGTTGCATGACTCTTCATTATGTGGTCATGCGACTTCTTTGGGCGTAAGCGCAACATCCAGCTGGGCTCTTTCCTGGCCATGTTTGGCGGTGCGCTCCAAGGCGGTGCCAACTCTCTAAGGTGCGAGCTGGAGTGTTCCAAACATTCTTGAAATCGGGGAGCTGATGTGTCTCCAGCATGTTCCAGGCAGGGCATTTTACCTGCGGCCTGGGAATCGGAATCCTGGTGACTGTCTGTCCCATGTACCTGTCCGAAATTTCGAGCGTTTTTCACCGAGGCTGGCTGGTCGGTCACCATGCTATATTTCTAGTCTTCGGGTACATGCTTGCTGGGTGGGTTGGCTATGCGTGTTACTTTGCACAAGGTCAAACGGATACGTTCAGTTGGAGGTTCCCGCTTTGCCTTCAATGCCTCCCACCTTTGATCCTGCTTCTTGGGTCGCCGTGGGTTCCGCGCTCTCCTCGCTGGTTGATCAGCAAGGGTAAACAAAGCGAGGCTCGATCAGTCTTGGAGCGGCTGCGCAAATCCCCTGATGATCCCGACAATCTCGTTGCCAAGGAAGAATACTACCAGACTACTCAACAGATTCATCTGGAGAAAGAACGATTGTCTGCCTATGGTAATGTATGGAAAGCAGTCTTCAAGAAAAGGTCATATCGGAAACGCATGATTATTGGTTTCCTGACACAATGGGGAGCAGAATTTGGTGGGCCTTTGATCATAGTAAGTCACTGGTTCGCGGATACCGTTTGACCAGCAGCTCATTTGAATGACAGAACAACTATGCCGTCATTCTATACACTAACCTAGGCAGCATGCCCTTTCTTCTTAGTGCAGTATGGCTTACCACAGCTGGTAAAATGGTCTATTCGTGATCCAGCTGGCGCTGACACCTGAGTTCTAGGTATAATCTATAAACCGTTAGGAGCTTGGCTTCATGACAGAGTAAACTCAAGGCGGAAAATGTATATCGTTGGCTTTGTCGGGATTGTTATCACGACATCCTGCCTAGCTGCCATGACAGCACAGTATGCAGGGACCAAGAATCGGGTTGGAAATGGCTTTGGCATTTTTTTCATCTATCTCTATTTGGCTTTCCAGGGGTAGGCAGGCCTTCGACCAGCCCACGATGGGGTACTGACTTTGCGACAGAACATTCTGTGATACCACGATGTACCTCTATGTGTCTGAAATATTCCCCACCGAGATTCGGCCGATTGGCATGGGCTTTTCATTATTTGGACAATTTGCTGGCAAGTAGAAGTTCTATGGCGGCTCTTTGCAACGCGGCTAACTGAAGGGTGCAGCTACGTTGATACTCCTCGAAACCGCTCCAATGGGCTTTAACAACATAGGGTGGAAGTACTACCTGGTCATTATCTGCTAGTCCGCCTTCTTCATTCCAGGTACGTAGTACTGAGCCTTCAAGATTGGGAACTGGCCTACTGCACCGGTACTGACAGAATCTCGAGTCATATATTCCTTTTTCCCGGAGACAGCCCGTCTGACCCTCGAAGAAGTCGCGAAGAATTTTGGTGAAGAGGTTGCCGTCCGCCGCACGGATGCCACGGACGAGGAGAAGGCACAACTCGAACGGGATCTTGCAGCTGGATCTCGCAACTATCAATCATCCAGAATAAAGACAGGAAATGGGACTGTCGACGATTCTGTCCTTCATGGAGTCTAATCAGCATGATGCCAGGTAAGTATTTTGACCATCGGTGGAGGGCCTGGTTTTACAACCGGACGGCTAATGGATGTGTAGGTGTTATTCGAGGATGCTTGCAATTAGCTCAATCCCTGTATATATGATAATTATCAGAATCTTGGGTCGGTGTCTATTCGCTTGAAACGAGGTCTTGTGGACGATTTGGGTGAGACTGCCGGACTCATATCTTTCAGGCTTGGTTGGCAAACTATCGGTCTTCAGGAGGCGGCTGTGGAGACATTAGTAGATCTAAAAGGTCTGGGCCAATGAGGGAAGGAAAAGCGTGACGACGAACCGGTCGAGCGTCGGGTGGATTTGTGAGTTCAAGCGCACTGGTCAGTGGGACGAACATATGGTTCTGGTTAGGTGGCTTCAGTAAGAGCCTAGAGGTGGCAGGAGCTTCATTGCATCTGTAGATGTGTGGGGTGCAATATGAAGAGATGGATCCCAGATGACACAGTTGACACTTGACAAAACTAAAAGGTTCAACTTGAAAGCATCAGACAAAGGAACGCGGGTGATTGACGGGTGGGATTCATTAAGACCAAACAATTGTTGTCCTCAGGAATCCTTGGAGACCTTAAGTGACCTTCGAAATCCTCAGGCACCAGACCCCGGTTGGGTGTTGGCTCCAATCAGGTGCCCCAGGCCCGCAAGTGCCAAACAGTGTCCATAACTCTAGTCCCAGATAGGATAAGTGTGGCGGTCAAGCGAGCCAGTCAGCAAGGCAGACTGGACCAGGGCGGCGAAGTGGGCGTCTCAGCCCAGCGTCTGGAAGCTGGAATTGGAGAATGGCACTGGCAGCTTTCACTTCCTCTCTCTCCTCTCTCATTGACACACTCTCCTTCCCTCACTCACTCGCCCCATCTCTCCTCCTCCTCCCTCCCCCCCCCCCGCTGGTTCCCCTTCCCTTCTCTATCTATTATTACTTGGTGTTCTCCTCATTCATTTATTCATTCCTCTATTCTCCCTTCTTTCCTCACCCTCTCTCTACCTACCTCTCTCTCTCTCTCTCTCTCTCTCTATACCTCTCTCTACCTCTACTCTATCTTTTGCTTTCTCTCCCTCCCCCTCTACCTTTACATCTTTCGTTCTCCCTTCTCTTCTCTCTTACTCGCGTACCTTCCGTCACTCCAAGCCTCCTTCGCCCCCCCGTCAGCCTTGTCGCTCTACTTCAACCAGATCCCTTTTCACCCTTGGCCTCTTTTCCAAAGGCCTAATTCCCGCCCATCTCTTATACCTCACCTAATTATTTTCTTCCATCTGCTAGACTTTTAATTTGCGTGTTCTGCCTGACCTCGCTTTGTGTTCGCCTTTCATCCGATTTGAGCGGGAGAGGTATCTTGCACCGTCTGTCTGCCTGAGGCACCAGAACCATTTTGCTTCCCGATTAGGCGCGCCAGGAAAGCCACGGAAAACGAAACAGAAAAAAAAGCAAAAAAAAAAACAGGGCGGCCAAAACACGCGCCGAGAGCCGAAGAAACGAATCAATCACACCCGGCGTTGAGACTCGTTTCCCTCACTTCATCCTCTCACTTTTCCTTCTCTCTTTCCACCGTCCCAAGTGCGCGGAATCCTTATCAACCCCAGAAAACACAAAAAAGAAAAAAGTGTCAGTGAGAAAAGGGATTAAAAGAAAAGGTTAAAGATAAATTTGGAGAAACTGAGAAGAAGCCCGCCCTTAATCATCCATCTATCGATCTCCCCTTGACAAGAACCCAAAAAGTCTTTGCTTGCATCCCTTACTTCCCATCTCGTCACCATCGCATCGCTGTGTTTGTGTTGCGAAGGATTCGGACGGACAGTTCAGGCTTGAGTTTTCTCTTCATTACATCGTTGTGTCGAGCTTTATTTTTCCACGCCTACTAGGGAGTTGCAGAGCATCTCCCGTCTGTTCACCATCATCGGTCTTTTAATCGCAGACATATCCTTCACCTCCACCGTTGCTTGAGCCGACTACTCTTTTGCTCCGGTCGCGTCTACCTTCGCCTCTCTCTTGGTCACCCTACTAAGCCACCAGCATTGATCATTCGACGCTGACGTCTGGTTCTTATCTTCTTGTACACCTGATTCCTAATCGCTCTTTGCCGTCTGGTGCCATTCCACCAAGGCGCGTCGACTTACATATCTTCCTGTATCTTGCAGGTAAGCTGGCGTTGAGGCAGTCGCTCACAGCATTCGGCTGACTGTTACGAAAGCTCGCATCGGTCATTGATCCTGAAACTGTGGAGCATTATTACCATTCATTGCCCTTCGATCATCCAGTCTCGGTTTATCTGTGCGTCTCGTCATTGCCGAAGCCTCTTAATCCTTTAATACGCTAAGGCTACTCTGCGTTGCTGATTCACCAGCACTCCCTTTTCTTCGTCTTTTGCACATATATTATTGTACACTTCACCATCTACAATCACGAGTATGGACGCTGGCGGTCTTGCTCAAATGAGCTACAACTCTTCTTTCAATAATGGCGGTTCCCTCGGGGTTCCTGGGGCCAGCTTCGGCTCTCGGCGGAAGGGTTCCCATATCAAGCGACTAAGCGTCCCCCCGCCGCACATCGCGACTATTGACGAATCTCAGCCTTCTGCACCCGTCCCCACGCCACGCACTAGCCGTTCTCATCTTTTGGCGGGGCTGAGGACCGCACCGAAGTCCGCGACCGTGCCGTCTGCAGTCCAACGCCAGCAGCACCTGGGTTACGAAGGCGATCGGTATGGCAATTCTTCGAATCGCGCTACGGAGCGTGTCCCTCAAACCGCTATGGGAACCGGTTTCCCACGCCACTCACTAGCCACAAACCAGAATGTGGACATGAACACGGGTCGTCCTATGTATACTTTGCCGGAGCAGGTGCTCGCACCTCCGGCTATAGACATCGCTGGCGATATGCCAATGGACGATAACCTGTACGCGGAGTTGATGTCGACCAACCTTTTTCTTGCGGCCCAGCAACAGCGCCTGCAACAGCAATTGATTAGTGTGACTGCAGCAGCCCAGCAGTTCCAGGGCATGACCTTGGGTGGACCCATGGCTCAGCAGCAACAGGAATACCCTGCGCTTTCGGTCCCCAGCATGGGCTTCTATCAGCAACAGCTTCAGCAGGGTGTGCAGCCGATCGTGCAGCCGGTGCCAGGTCAGCCTGGTCTCTTCTCGGTCTACAATCCTCTTACCGGCCAGCAAAACTTCATCTATGACAATACTTTCCAGCAGGAAAGCTCCACTACTCCCTACCACGAGGAGGAGCCTTCGTTCCCATCCGTGCAAGTGCCCACTTTTAGAGCAGAGGTTTCTCCTCCCGAGTCTCATCAGTCCCCTGTCAGCATCGGTGAGCCCGTGTCTCCTCCGCGGTCGAGCCCGTCGCCGCCTCTGGATGTTGCTCCTCTGCCCCCGCCTTCAATCAACGCTTTCCGTCGGGGACACAAGAAGAGCTCTTCTTTCAGCCCTGCCCTGAAGCTGCCCATTGACACCATCAAAGCCAACAGCCAGATGGTGGCGCCTGGTCCTAAGACTGCTGCCTTGCCTCAGACTCCTGCGACGGGAACTTTTGGCCCTGGTCAAGCTCGTGCAGGTGAACATCCCACTCGTCAACCTCGCGGCCCTCCTTCTCTGGAAGAGCTGGTTGCGAAGCCCACTTCCAAGTTCGAAGGCAGCAAGAACTTTGCCACACGTCAGCGACGTCGGGCCGTCCACAACTTGGTGCGCGCCGGCATTGAGCGCCGCGGTGACACCCGGAGCTTCGGCTGCCATAGCAGTGGCGGTACGAATACTCCCGCCAGTGAGAAGGAGTTCACTTTCTCCGATGGAGATGATGCCACTGTGCGTAGTGGTAGTCTTTCCAGCAAGCCCAGCTTGGGTAGCCTCCGCGCAGCTGCCAACGGTGCAATTGGTTCCGAGAGGAAGGAAAGGTCTTCTCGGGAGCGCAGATCGCAGGATAGCCCCTACAACACGACCCCCATCAGTGAGGATGGTGGGTTCTTTGGAGGAAAGTTCGCGGACGTTCGAGCGGATCAGGGCTCTCCTCGAACGGGCTCCCCATCGGTTGCTGCTGTCGTCGCTGGCCAGAAGACGGTAGCTCAGGGTCAGGAACGGCGCAAGACCCCTATGCTTGTGCTGTCCAGCGCTGAGAAGCGTAAGACCCCCACCATCATGTAATGTGAACGCCGTACATAATGTGACTTGAAACGCGCTACGGGATGTGCCAAGCTTGGATGATTTCTTTATTTCTTACTTCTGAGGTGTTTTTGAAGCATTTTGATTCTATTATTTCCTGGTTCCGAAGACAAGATGCTTAATTTTGTGATGTCAATGCAAGGCAGACTTGGTCCTGAGCGATCTTCTGTCTATGTTCCTTTCTCTCTGTGCTTGGACACACGATTGGGCTCTGCGAGATGGTTGGTTAGTCGGTTTGGCTGGCTCAACACCTCACCTCGCAACCCCACATATGAAAATGTGACTTATGTTATCCTTTTTTTCTCTCGATCATTCCTTTTCTCCACTTTCTACAACTTGAACAAATTGATGAAGCTCCTCAAGCGGGCTGATTGACACATTAGCAATGCGTTGCCTTTCTATCACGTCTTTTTCCTTGAGCGTGGAATTTCCCAAACCCCGGTCTAGACCCCAGGTTCTCTTCTGGGAACTGAACCTGGGGGAGTCGAAGCCCGGCTACATCTGGTTATGTAGCCTTTCTGGCCTAGAAAATCAAATAGTAGAGTGTTAGTTACAATAGGACGAGAAGCAGTCACATCCTCAAGCGCGTATGCATCTTTAACACTTTCAAGTCGCATGCTACCGGCTTGAACGATATCGCCTTGGTATGGATGCTGAAACTATGTCCCCTACCAATCACTATCTATCAACCCTGTTACGAACTAGAATCAACACCAGACTAGCCAACTTAATACGGAGGATTTCAACCCAGCGACCCCCTTCGATATAGATATGCTAGACCATGCATGAAAACTCAATTCCGAGCTAGAGAC